GGAACTGCTCATTGTCTGTGTGGGGTGGGGGGGTTCAGGTCCTCACCCCTCAGATAATATAATTGGTTCAGTCCAACCTGGTTCAGGAAGAGTCCACTGGAGCTGTGGAGGGGTAAAGAACAATCAATAAACAACAAACAACCATTATGAGTCATCACAGTTTTATTAAAATTCTGTTCTTTTTATTGATTAGTAGAAGTATTTGACAACCATTTAAAACTAAAAAATCATAAATTGGTAAAAGATTGTTATAATTTACTCTAATTGACAGTTTGTGTTTTTTTCACATNNTGCGATAATATGTAAGACTGAATTATTTGGTTAATCTTTGATTATTTTAATAAAACAAATAAACACAAACCTTTATTTTGAAATGATAATAAAATCTATTATTAATAAACATTTATTGCATTTTTATTTTATTTAAACCACATTAATAAATAATAAATTAATAATAATTATTCACTATGATTAGATCTAATTAAAGTACAGTTTTACAGCACTAATTAATTTATTAAACATTACAGACCAGGTTGATGATTATGGTTATTCTGTACATTATTATTATTATTATTATTAATTATTATCATTAAGAATTAAAGAACATTCTCAACGTTCACTTACTGACTTTTTCTGGATTTCTTTGATCGATGTTTGTGATGGAAAAAGTTCGTAAGAGACCGTTGAGTTGTTATTTACTTTATTTTCTTTAACATATTATTCACTAATATTTTAATTAATTATTATTAATTCACCTTCTGTTTTCGGCTCCTCTTCCTCCCCTCCTCCTCCTCCTCCTCCTCCTCCCCCGTCGGCCCTCCTCTTCCCTTTCACCTGGCCCATGCGTCTCTTCACCTCCTGCAGCAGCTCCTCCTTCCTCTCCCTCCAGCGCTCCGCCCTCTGCGCCTCCTCCTCCTCCTTCTCCTCCAGCAGCGAGCGCAGGAAGGCGGCGCTCACCACCTCCTCGCCCTCCCCCACCAGGAAGGCGTTCTTGAAGCGGTTGTAGAGCATGGAGGCTTTGTCCATGATGGCCTGGTTGGCTCTGTAGTAGCGCAGCTGCACATTAAACACAGGAGGTTAGTGAGCGCGTGCGGCCGCGATTAACGCCTACGTTGATCTCTGCCGTACCTTTCTCAGCGTGGACACCAGCTCGCTGTGTCGCTGCACGTGTTTGGACGTCACGTAAACCATACTGAGCTGATCCAGCACCATCAGACACTTACCGACGTCCTGGAAGACAAACAGAAACTGTTTCAGTGGTTAAAGTAAAAGTGAAAGAGCGTTTCTGCTTTGAAATAAGTTTCGCTTTACGGCACCAAGTCAGAGATTCTTGGTGAAACTGGATCATATTTGATGTTTTCTGGTTTTCTCTCTGATGAGTTTCCTGATGGACAGTAAAGTAGCTTCTGTTAACTGGCACTGTGCGCTCAGTGTTGACTTACCAGCAGTTTCTAACGGCCTCAATAAGTCGCTAAATTTGCCGCTTTTTATAAATGAAGCTGCAGAGAATAAACTCTCTATGATTGATTATGTGAGACGTACAGTAGAGCTCGTGATCAGCTGTCAATCAAGATGTGAAATCCCTTTTTTATCGCTTCAGATACGAAACGATTTATGTTCTATCACGCTAAAATCTAATAATTTAACCTGTGATGATGCTTTACATTCTGTATATTTGTGCTGTTTATCTTTAGAAAGCGAGTGTTTCCACCACATACACTGATTGATTGATTGATTGATTGATTGATTGACTGATTGATTGATTGATTAGATCTTTAATAACCGGCGTGTGAACGGGTCTTACAGGGTTGTCGGTCTTGAGAGAAATCCTGATGTCTCCGTGGATTCGGTGCAGCGTCGAGTCCGTCAGCGTCACAGTCGAACTCTTCTTCTGCTGCTGCTTTGCCGGCGGCTCCGACGTCCCTCCGTCCGACGCGCCGCTCTTCGTTTTACTTTCTTCTTCCGCGCTCGTCTTCTCCGCCTTTTCTTTTTCTTCGGTCGGTGTCTCCTTCCCCTCTGCGGTCGCTGTGTCTGCGCTCGTCTTCGGGGGATTTGGCTCGAACTCTGCGTCCGTTTCCTTCGTCTGCTCGTCTTCGTCCTTCGTCTCCTCTTGTGATTCTCTGGTCGTCACTTTCTCCGCCTCGCCTTCGTTCTTCATTTCTTGCGAGTTCGCTTTCTGCTCCTCTTCGTTCTTCGTCACCGTTGTTTCCTCGTCCGCTTTCTCCGTTAGATTCTTCTCCTCTCTCGTTCTGTCGGACTTCTTCTCCGCCTCTTCGCTTCTTTCCGTCTTCCCATCGTCAGATTTCTTCTCGTCAGCTGTTTCTTTCTTTTTCTTGTCTTCTACCTTGTTGCTTTCTATGTTCTCTTCTATGCTCTTCTCTTGTTTCTTCTCCTCTT